TGGTAGTGACGTACTATTATTATATATACACATACTATATATATATATATATATATATATATATATATATATATATATATATATATTGAACTTAGTAATACAACCAAACTATTAGATTTCACATTGGATGGTTGTAAGTAATTGTAATATCACTGTACTAAAGATAAGAGGTCTTATTGTATAAAATCTCATTTATGTAAGGGATTGTACACTATGAAACCATTTATCTTCTATACAAGGTCACAATTACTTGTAGTTATTGGATGGCCCGGTGTGTGTCATGAAGCTCGAAATTTTTTTTTTTTTAATTTTGTGTCGAGTCAATAATATGCTTGCAGCAATCCAATTTGAAATCCGAAGAACAAGATTGATTGTGATCTCCCAATGCAAAGTAAATGTTCTATTGGCATACTTTTACTTTATATATTTTTTATTTTAATCTTTTAATATATCTGAGTTGTACTAGAGTACTCTACTCCACCAAGTAGTTCAATCTGCTTTGGCCTTGAGTTATTGAAATTTCAAAACGCAATGGAAATCATGGAATGTACTTGTTTCGTTATTGAGTAGGGCAAATTTTTCAGACCGCTATACTTTTATGAGGTGAGATTTGTACAAGGTGCCACCTTACGGATATGTAGTTCCATTACGAGAACCTTATGAGGTTTTAGAAATGGACGGTTTAGATAATTTTTTATTATATCATGTTTTGTTTTAGGACTTGAAATTTTTTTTTCTCTTTCTATCAATACAACTCGAGATCGGGATAATCTAAGTTATTTCTCCTCCGAAGCCGAAGCATATCGCTATTGAAATAAACCTGGTTTGGCAAATGCTCTACCAAGAATAAAAAGGTTTTCCAATTTCGGAACTCTTTTCTACTATATTTTTGAAGCACACCTTACTTTTGTAGTATGAAGTTGCAATATTACATGACAGTTTTATTTGACCGTTTCGAATGGATATGGGGGAGGGTGTCCTTCCCAAAAGCCAAATTGCAAAAGAAAAATCACTTACATGATAAAAATAAAAAAAAGGGGGGGCCTGACTGCTCATGTGTTAGTTGCAACTGAATCATCTATTATCGTGCGGTCCCTTGTCTATTAAACGTCCATCTCAAAGATGGATGTCAAAAAATATTACATCCACTAAAAGTTAGAATGGATAGTGGAAACAAGAATTCAAAAAACAATATTTACATTTTTGAAAGAAAAAAAATTCCAAAGATCATTGTCATGGTCGAGATTATCGAGTCCTAAAATTTTGGATTTAAAATACAACCTTGAGATTTATTTTGGAGGGAGACTGCACAAGAATAGGTTTAACGAGCCAAGCGGTTTGATCAATCGTACCGTATGATCAATCTTTTCGTGTGAAAGAGGTGCCTTGTGGATTGAGACTTTAGGAATTTATAATAAGGACGTCATTTTTATGAGTCCATGTTGAAATGAGTCACCTCTTAAAAATCTATTTTTGAGATGGATTTTTGGGTTTAATTTTTAAGGACATGTAATCTCTACATAGAGAACATGAATGTGAAAAAATATATAATTTTTTAAAATTAAAAATAATAATTGTATTACAAAAACATTTGGACGGTTAGTTTTAATTATTTTTAAATAGACCACTTATTTGCATCCATATTAAAACTAGGGGTACGGTTTCTATAAGGTACCTTAAACAATCCAATTAAGGCATACCTCCAATTTTTATCTTAACATGTAATGTTGGTGTAAAAAATTCTTAGGATTATCTCAAAATCTATTTTTATATCTAATTATAAAAATTTTAATTTAAAAAATAGTCAAAATCAAGTAGATTTATAAATATATGAAATTTTTGGAAATGGACGATCTAGAAAATGTGTTGCAAGATGCATTATATATGGGACTCAATTTTCTTTTTTTTTTCATATTCACACATCTCGACATCGAGATGATAAATTAGAGGGTCTTTCAACATTAAAACAACATTCTCTAATGGATTTTTGAGATGCATTTGTAATTCTACATTTTAAGGTTAAAATTTTATGTACATTTTTTCCTAAAAATATTGATGCTTTATATTTCGGGGACCGCAAATGTAAAAATACAGTCCCCCGCAAGAAACAATTTCCCTTAAAATAAACCTATCAAGAATGACTTAATTGCTGTTAGGGTTCGATTTGGACAAAACCATTCAAGAAATGATTAACAACACGAAAATGAAAATTAGAGAACTTTTATATATATAT